CATCAGCTGGTGCCCCTGACCACGCCCCCACAGCCCACAAGCTGATGTCACCCACTCCTCAGAGCCCACCAGCTGGTGCCCAGACCTCTCCCCCAGAGCCTAGCAGCTGGTGCCCCTGACCCCTCCCCTAGCAGCCATCAGCTGGTACCCCTGACCAGTCCCATAGAATCACCACCTAGTATCCCTAATCTCTACCATTGACCCTATTGCCTTGTGACCCCGGAAACTTCCACTCAAACCCACCAGCTGGGGTCCTGGACTGCTCCCCCAGAGCCCACTAGCTGCTTCCTGACCCCTTGCCCAGAGCCCACTAGCTGATGTCATTGATCCCTTACCCTGAGTCCACCAGCTGGTACCCCTGAACTCTTCCCCACAGCCACCAGTTGGTGCCCCAGACCCCTCCCCCAGATTCAACAACTGGTGCCCGCCTACCTCTCCTCTCAGAGGGCACCAGCTAGTACCCCCAACCCCTCGCCCAGAGCCCACGAGCTGGTGCCACTGACCCCTCCCCCAAAGCCCATCAGCAGGTGACCCTGACCTCTACCCTTTACCTCATTAGCTGGTGCCCCTGACCCCTCCCCCAGAGCCCACCAGCTGGTGCCACCCACCCCTCCCTGCAGAGCCCACCAGCTGGTGCTCCCCACCCCTCCCACAGAGCCCACCAGCTGATGTCCATGGCCCCTCCCTCAGAGCCCATCAGCTGGTGCCCCCAGACAGTACAGGATTAAGTGCTGCCCTGGAGAAACCAGTTACCCCCACAGGAAAGAAAAGCAAGGACTTGCTTGGGGTCCCACCTCTGGGGGCTCACCCTACAGTGCACACTCTATCGTGTCCACATTCCCCACCCCCACTCCCACCACAAACAGCAGCCATGGGTCACACTGATACAAGTGGGCAGAACCACAGGGTATCAAGGTGTGTGAGTCCAATCCCAAGCAGTTCCACTTGTCAGACTTCGAGGTGACCTACTGGTCAGACAAATGGTAAAAAGCCAGGAGAGGAGCTGGGGTGAGAAGGGCAGGTGTGCTGCACAGGGGACAGGGGACCCAGTGGTGGTGATGGAACAGCTGTCCTCATCGAGGTCACAGGGGCCACACATGTGACCAAGGCACAGACACCAGCAAGTGTGTTCACACGTGCTGGCGCATCAAGTCTGCGGGGATCCTGCATGAGCTCTGTTAGTGGCCCGTGTCCCACCCCTGATCGTGACCCCAGACTCCAGGAGGCAAGACACCGCCCTGTGGGACTGGGGCAAGAGTGCACAGGCCTCCCTGCTCCTTCCCGTGCTCCCTGTGAATCCACCATTATTTCAAAGGAGTCATAAAGGAAAAGAAGCTGTCTCAGAGGACGGGGCTCCGGATGTCTATGCAGGTTGGGAGGAAGCAGCAAAGGGGTATCTCCCACCGTAAACCGCCCCGCACTGTTAGGGTTCTCTGCCACATGCACCTGTGTTTTCATTTTAAGTCTCGGGTAAAAACCACCCTCAGAGACAACATGAAAGATGGCAGGGGAGGAATCAGGCAGGGCTGGGCACAATGTGAGGTCATGGGGGAGCACCAGCCTCTGAGGGTCCTGGCCAGGGAGCCAGGTTCCCAGGGGTGCTGAGGCAGGTCAAGGCAGGCAGGTCCCCATTCTGGGCTCAGGCACTTCCCTGGCCACCTGTGCCCATGACTGTGCGCCAGGCAGACCCTGGGGACCAACAAAGCTAGAGTGCACCCTGGCCCCCCTGTGCCCCCAAATCAGACTGTCTGCTGCACTTGCTACAGCTGAGGAACAGGGGGTGGTGGGGAGGAGGTGCACCTGTGCCCAGGGTTGCTTGCCAGGCCTGACCCATTCAATGTCAGGAGCACCAACACCCCCAGCCCTGAGTCACAAGCACAAATGTCCCCAGATGCCTGGTGGCACTGCCTCTGGGCCAGTGTTGCCAGGTAAATTTATCAGATAAACAGTGAACGATGTCTTTAGCAAAAAGCACCTTCCAAACACTGCAGAGAACGTCCTTACTCTAAAAGTCACCCGCTGTCTGTCGTGCCCTGCACTCTTGTTGCTAAGCATGGCTGCCCCTCCTAGGGTCACAAGTGCAGCTGCAGGAAGAGGGAGGCTGGGGGACAGCTGCGGCCTCACCAGCTGGCCTGGCTGTCAGGGCACAGGCTGTGTGAACACCAGAAAGGGAGGCCTGGGCCCGCCTAACCCCATGCCCAGAGCACAAGGAAACCCCTCCCCCAAGAGTCTGATGTCCTCTCTGCACAGCACCCACCACCCTGTCATCTGCGACCCCCATAAACACAGGGCGTCTACCCTATGATCACACAAATACGGTCCCTCGAGGACATGGCAGATGTCAGGGTGTGAGGTGTGGGCAGGTATGGGACACAAGGAGGCCAGCAGGAACAGGATTGTACCTGGAGAATTGAGTCAGGCTGACTGGTGTGCTCCAAGGCACTTGGGGGAGTGGCCTACCAGGTGCCCATGGAGGACTGAGGACATAGTGCCCTCCAAGGTCCCCAAGAGGTGCCCCAAGGAGTGAGACCACGGCAGGGGGACTGAGCGGAGGCCACATGGGAGCCACATGGGAGGTTCCTGGAAGTAGGTGTCCCTGGCCCCACATTCCACTGAGCACACACAGGCCAGACTGCACCACCCAGGAACTGCTGAGATCCACACGAAGGGAAAGAGGTGGGAAGGTGAGGTGCATGTCCTGCTGGAAACAGAGCAGGGGACCGACCCGATACGCAGAGCAGCAGACACAGACTGGGGAGCTTCCCACAAGAGCCAGCGATACCATCCGTAGCGGAACCCAGAGCACCTTGTATGCAGCCAGTGCCTGAGGAAGGCTCCCCAGACAGCACACGTGTGGTTGGGACAGGAACACACACAGCCTCGCCAGAGGGAACAGGACAGCAGGGGGAGGAGACCTGAAACATCACATGTGACCAGGGGCCATCACTCAGAACACACAAGAACACTGAAAAGTTCAAGGGTCAAGAAACAGACAACCCGGTTAGAAATGGGCCAGAGACCTTAACAGGCACCTCCCCACAAAGAGTATGCACGTTGCAAACAAGCCATTGCTTGCTGGTGGGGACCCGAAACCGCACAGCCATCATGGAAGTGTTTGGTGGTTTCTCAAAAAACCAAACATTGTTGCACGGTGCGACCCAGCAGTCGACCTTCTGGGCCTTAACACAAAATCCTGGACACAGATGTTTACGGCAGCTTACCCACAACCACCCAAACTTGGAAGAACCAAGACGTCCTCCACGAGGTGACGGGTGAAGAGACTGCAGTCCATCCATGCCAAGCGACATCACTCAGCGCTAAAGAGAAATGGCTTAACCACATATCACTAAGTGGAAGCAGCCAATCCAAGATGGCTGCCCACTGTGGGATTCCAAGTGCCCAGCGCTCTGGAAAAGGAAAAACCACGAAGACAGGAAAAGGATCCCCCCCCACCCAGTGGCTTCGGGGATTAGGGAAGGGAGGGATAACTCTGGGCACAGGGGGGCTGGGCTGTCAGGGTGGTGACAGCCATCACGTGATGGGTCCATGTCATCCCATACTTGTCCTCCCCACGAAAGGATGGGCCCTGGGTGCTGCAGCATCAATGCGGGTCCCCCAGGTGGGGACGCTGCCGTGAGGGAGTCTGTGCCTTCCCCGCGGTCATGCTGTGAACTTAAATGGGCTGCAAAAACTAAAGTCCACTTTCAAAGCAAAAATCCCAAGCTACCCCTAGAACAAGGTGTTACGCCTGGGAAACCAGAACAGGGGGCCACGAGGCAGGAAGTAAATGAACCAAAAGGAGAAACTCCAGAGAGCACCAGGCAGGGACAGAAAGCTGGACAGCGCTGGGCTCCCAGGAGAGTGGCCCTCTCTCCAGAGCAGCCCAGTCAGCCGCAGGTCAGGTGTCCTCCCCTCGATGCCCAGGCCCCCCATGTCCTTCCCCAAGTGACCCGCCCTGAAGATCCTTTCGCAGCCTCTGAGAGTTCACGCCAGATGCCCGGGCTCCGGGTGACCCCTAGCAATCCGCACCCTACCCGTCAGGCGGCCTGCCCTTCCGCGGCTCCCGTCCCTCTTCCCTCCCCCTGGGTGCCCCTGCCCCTCGACCTTCCCCCTGGCTGCGGCCGCCTCTCCTCCCTCCACCTAGGTAGCCCAGCCCCTTCTCTCTCCACCTAAGTGACTCGGCCCCGCCCGGGCTCCCGTCCCTCCTCCCTCCCGTTGGGTGCGGCCGCCTCTTCTCCTTTCCTCGGTGTGTCCCCGGCCCGGCTCCCGCCCCTCCCTCCCTCCGCCTGGGTGCCCCGCTCCGGATCCCGCCCATCCTCCCTCCCCCTGAGTGGCCCCGCCCCTCCCCCGCCCCTCCCCCGCCCCTCTGGGTGGCCCCGCCCCGGCTCCTGCCCCTCCTCCCTCCCTCCGGGTGCGGCCGCCTCTCCTCCCTCCCCCAGAGGCCTGCCCCTCCTCCCTCCGCCTGGTGCGGCCGACTCTCCTCCCTCCCCCGGCGGCCTGCCCCTCCTCTTTCCCCCTGGGTGTCCCCGCCCCTCCTCCCTCCTCCCTCCTCCCTCCTCCCTCCTCCGTGTGGCCCCGCCCGCCCCGGCTTCCACCCCGGCTGCCGCCCCGGTTCCCGCCCCGGCTCCCGCCCCTCCGCCTTCCCCCTCCCTTTAGGTACTGCAGACGCCCGCTCTCACCGGTAGACAATGACGTCGTATAGCGTGCGGCCCTGAATGTTGAGAAAGTGGGCGTAGCCCGCCCGCGCCGGGGGTAGGGTAGCGCAGTCCGCAGGACCCGGAAGCGGCAGCTCATTGGTCAGCAGCCCCAGGAGGAACGGCGCGGAGTCTGGCCCGCGCACGCGCACCAGGGTGCGCTCGCCCAGCGGGAAGCAGGCCCAGGCCGCTCCGTCCGCGGGGTCGCCGCCGTGACGGCTCGAACCGTGGGCGAGGCGGCGCTTCGGGGTCGCACGCAGCCGCCAGCGCCAGGCCCGGCTGCCGCGCCCCTGAGCCGCGCCCCGGAGCAGCGCCGCGGCCGCCATCTTAGGGAGGAGTAAGGCGGCTCGAAGGGGCGGGCTGGGCGGCGGCGCTGGCAACTGGGTGGACGCCACAGCGGCCTCTGCCGGCGGGCGGGGCTGCACGTGGGGGCGGGGCGTGCGCGGGGACGAGACATGCGGGGCGGGACTTGTGCGGAGAAGGGCAGGCCTGCGCGCGAGACGGAGCTTCGAGAGGGGCGGGAACGAAGTGTGCTGGGCGGGACTTGTGCCGGCGAGGGGCGGGGACGGAACTATGAGGTGGGGCTTGTGCCTGAGGGGCGGGGCCAGGCGCTATCCGTCCCGCCCCCTGACTGTCCTGGCTGGGCACCTCCGTAGGACGCACCTTCCCTGCTCCTGGTCTCCAAGAGGTTTCCTCTTGCTTTACTATGGTGATGTGCGTGTAAGATGAGGGTCTCCATCGCTGAAATCTCAAGCGCACAGTTCAGCCCCAGCCAGCGCGCGCTTATCGTGTACAGCCGTCCCCCACTTCTATCCAGAACTTGCCATCTTCCTGCCGACCACCAATCCCCTTCACCCGGCCCCCAGCCCGTGGGGCCCCCAGTCCCCTCTGTCTCCGGGAACCTGACTCTCATGAGTAGGATCGCACAGTGTGTGTCGTGCTGTGACTGGCTGATGCCATATAACGTCCTCCAGGTTCGTCTGTTCGGTAGCAGGTGTCCGATCTTCCTCTTGAAAGATGGGTGAGATTTTGTTGTATGGATGTCCCACAGGTTGCGGACGTCTGTGTTACTTCCACCCCTTCGGTGTTGTAGATGTTGCTGCCATATGTATGCACATCTCTCGGAGACCCTGCTCTCAGTTCCTTTGGGTGTTGTGTGTACAACCATGCTCCTGTGTGTCCTCTGCTCACACTCTGCCCTTCTCTCTGACACTTAGGATCACCCCCTGTGCTTGAGGGGAAGTCTGCGACACCAACTGGAAGTCTGCCACACCAGACTGCCACACCAGTCTGACCCTGTCCACATGGAGTCAGCGTCAGACCCCACAGGCTCAGCCCCACAAGACCACCCCCACTTCAGGTGCCAACCCCAAGTCCAGATGACACCTGTGCTCTGAGCCACAGGCAACAGATCAGAGGTTCCCACGGCCCTTCCTCAGGTTTGATGAATGTTCTGGAGGGGCTCAGAGAACTCAGGGAAATGTTTCACTTTCTAGATTAGTGGTTTATTACAAAAGGATATGACTCAGGGACAGCCTGATGGAAGAGACGCCCAGGGTGAGGCACTGGGGAAGGGGTGGGAAGCTTCCATGCCTCTCCAGACATGTCACTCTCCCCACATCTCCACGTGCTCCCCAGCCTGGAAGCCCCCCACCCCCCAACCCCAAGACCGTCCCTCTCAGTTTCATTGTATAGACGTGATTGATTAATCCATTGCCCATTGGTGATTGATTCCATCTCCCCTCCCCAGAGGTCAGGGGCAGGACTGAAGCCTCCAACTCTCTGGTCCCACGGTGGGGTCCATAAGCCACCAGCCGCCATCCCTAGGGGCTTTCTTTTTTTTTTTTTTTTTTTTAACGTTTATTTATTTTTGAGACAGAGAGAGACAGAGCATGAATGGGGGAGGGGCAGAGAGAGAGGGAGACACAGAATCAGAAGCAGGCTCCAGGCTCCAGGCTCTGAGCGGTCAGCACAGAGCCCGACGCGGGGCTCGAACTCACGGACCGCGAGATCGTGACCTGAGCTGAAGTCGGATGCCCAACCGACTGAGCCACCCAGGTGCCCCCCCTAGGGGCTTTCCAAAGTCACCGCAACAACATGAACTCGGGCTTGTTATGAACACCATGACACCTTCATTGCTGTCTTCAGTTGGGAAACCCAAGGGCTTTAGGAGCTCTGAGCCAGGAAAGAGTGACAAGGGCCAAGTCCGTATTTCTTACTATAAATCACACTATCAGGAATGTACCCTGAGGGCAATTGCCGGTTCATACAGTAATTCTGTGTCTAATTTTTCAAGGAACCTCCATACTGTTTTCCTAGGTGTGTGAATCAGTTGTGCAACAGATGCCACACACTGGGTGGCTTATACAACACACACCTGTTTCTCAAAGCTCTGAAGGCTGGAGGTCCAGGAACAGGGCCGGTGTCTGCTGATGCCTCTCTCCGTGGCGTGCACATGGTGCCTTGTCACCTTTGGTGTCTCTTCTGAGAAGACACCAGGCCTGCAGGGCCAGGGCTCGGGGATCCCTAATTACTTCCGGAGGGCCTATCTCCAGACACAGTCACACGGGGGACCAGAGCTTCGCATGTGGGTATTTGGGGGGCATAGCTTTTGAGCCCTGTTTCCCCCATCAGCTATTGTCCTGTTTTTGCTCCCCTTTGGGGGAAACTGAGAGACTGTGTGCTGCATAAGAACTGCCTCTTAATCCTCCTGCACTCCCCAGAGCCCCAGCCAAGGTGGGAGATGGAAGCTGGCTTCCTGCCCCCACCCTGGATCTGTGTGGTCTGGGCTCTACTGCCCACTGACCCTCCTGTCCTGATCGAGCTCTCTGAGCTCTAGTCCCAATGCTGTGTGCAAACGGGGCTGGAGGCGAGGCCGAGCCAGCCCCCGGTGTGGGGCTCCAGGGCCATCCTTGGGCCCAGCTCCATGCGTCCCCACCACGTCACCAATTCCCCCAACCACACTCCAAGTCTGTGTCCACACACAGGGCATTTCCCCAAAAGTCCAGACCCACAGCCTGCCGGGCATTTCCCCTTGAGTGTCCTGTTCCTGAAACATAAGCATGTTTGCACAAACATGACCTGCACACCCTCTAGGGCCCTAGAGCTCCATATCTGACACCTCCCCTCCACACACCTGCATCCAGGAAGTGGGGTGGCTGTGTGACACCTCACTCCCACAGCGCATCCCCCTGGGATTGATCAGGTGGTCTTCTCAGGACTGGATGCTGAGAGGACCACGTGAGAACAACTGTGAATGCTAAAGCGCACCCCACTATAAAGGGGTTGCGGCTCCATGGTTAGTGACCCCACGGCCTTCCACCCCAGGTCTTAGCACTGGCCCCTCACCCTGGCCTCCTCCTAAGGCCCTGGATACTCTGCTGATTCACCTGATCTGAGTGCCTATGTGGCTCCCTGCTGCATCCCCAGGGCACGGGTAACATGGGCCATCTCAGCGTGAACAGCCCATCAGCACACGGTTGGAGCGCCAATGCCAGGTGCCCGCCCATCCCTGAGCCTCAGGCTGCTCAGCCCCCCTACTTGCCCAACTCCCCCTTGTCCTGTCCAGCCCTACCCGAGGCCATGCTGCCCAAACCTGTGAGGTACTGGGTCTCTCCCAGCCGGGCCTGGCAAGCCTGGTGACAGCATGGTGAGGGATGCCGATGGCCCCCCGAGCCCCCTAGTGTCTCCCAGGCCCTCGGTCCCCCTCCTGGCTGGCATCCTGGCTGTGACCTGCCATTCCTGGTATGTGGCTCCCCTGGCCGCTGGCCACTGGCTGCTTGCCCTTCATGGAGAAGGTCTTCCTCTGCCTGGCCTGGCATTCCACAGGTGACCCGGCACGTCGCTGCCAGCTTGGGGAGGATGGAGAGGAAGCGGCCAGGACAACACGGGGGGGGGGGGGGGCGCGGTCCTCCAGCCTCACGTCAGCCAGCCCCTTGTTCAGCAGAGGAGTCTGCTTCCCACCAGCACTGCCGCCCGGCGCCACCGGGAACCGTCCCGACCTTCCTGGCGCAGTCCACTCGGCGCTGTCCAGCACAGCAACTACCCACACTAGGGCTGGTCAAGTGCACAGCAACTCAGACCAAGTTAAATGAAACTTTCAGCTTCTCGCAAGAGCCACACTGAAGTGCCCAGAACCACACGTGGCCAGTGGCTGCCTGCACCTGCCAGCTAGCACTTCTCCAAGCCCTCTACTCCGGGAAGCCCTCCCAGATCTCTGGGCCAGCCTGGCAATGGGGATCCTTGCACATGGGCTGCCCCTTCTCAGGTGCCCCCTGCCTTGCACCTTCAGCTCCGCATTTGTTGGGGACGGTGGCTGGGGTCTGCCTGGCTGCGGGGGAGGGGGGGAATGCCTGGCCGCAGAGCCTCTCAGGGAACCGCACTGGTGGACCTGGGTTGTGTGCCATTGCTTCTTCTGAGGCCATGAGCCCTGGAGGGGTGGAGAGCTGGGAACCCAGCAGGCGTGGGGGTCCTGGACCCTACTTCCCAGCTGCCACTGGGCCAGGGGTGGCTTCCTGTTATTCTCCCCTCACGGTCTCCTCCCTTCCCAAAGGCAGAGAGGAAGCTGCCTCCATTCTGGGAGCTCACAAGCAGCCGCCCCCTCCCCCCCCCCCCCCCACGGCCCTCTGCTCTCCCCGAACAGCCGGCCATTTGGCTCCAGCCGTGGAAACGGATGACAGTGAGACAAGAAGGCCATCCCGTCTGCTCCTGTTCTGGCCACCCCCCACCACCACCACCACGCAGTGAGGTGAGGCGGGGAGGCCTGGGCTCTGTGCCTTGGGTTCAGCCCTTCATCCTCATGCCATGCCAGGTGCATGGGGAAACCAAGGCACGCACTGAGAGGGGTCTGTCCAAGTAGCACAGTGAGCATAAAGCACCGCCTCTGGGAGTTCCCAGCCCCAAGCAGCTTATATGCCGCGTCCTTCAGAGGATTGGTTCAGGCGTAGCATTGGGGCTGTGTCTGCAATGACAGGGTGTCAGAGGCAGGACCCTGGGTGATGCACAGGTCCGCTGAGGCTGGGGACAGCCAGTGACATCAGTGGAGAGGGCGTGACATCAGTGAGGCATGGCATCAGTGGGAACCTAAACGATGGCCATGGAAAATTCACAAAACTGAAGGCCCCCAGTGGTATCCGCAGGCCCCAAGCCTTGAAACGGATGCCCTGTTAACACACTCTGGCCAATAGGATGTGTATTAGCTGGGGTTCTCCAAGGAACCAGCTCATGTCATTACGGGGCCGGCAAGTCTGAAATCTGCAGGGTAGGCTGGAGGCCTGAGAGCTGGGTTGTCGGCCCAGCCTGAGTGAGTCTGCAGGTTGGAGACCAATGTCCCAGCCCACTCAGGCAAAATGAGTTCCCTTTCACTACTCAGGCCTTCACCTGATTGGGTCAGGCCCAGCCACACTAGGGACTTCACTCAGTCTAAAGATTCAGTGTGAATATCATGCAGAATCACCTCAAAGACACCCCCAGAATTATGCTCACTCTGGGAATCCTAGGGCCCAATCAGGATGACACAAATATTACCAACAGCAGCACTTTGGACATAAATGGCTTCTTCTTCAGGAACCTCAGTCTTTGCTCTTATGGCCGTCACCTGATTGGATGAGGCCCACCCACCCTGGGGATGGCGATCTGCCTTACCAAAGAATGCTCATTGCCAGTGTTAATCTCATCTAAAAACACACCTTCACCGTGACATCTAGACTGGTGTTGGCAGGAACCACTGGGCACAGATACTCAGCCTGACCCACAGCAAACCAGTTTCCCCAGCAGCCCTGGGGGAGAGTCCTCCTCCTGATGACCCAAACTGCCTCACGTTGTATCTAGACCAATTGAGAGTGGGCGGGGGGAAGGGGGCTGAGATACAGAAATCATACAGGCTATACCCTTGAGGGGATTTATAGGAGGATGGTAGTGTTGTGGTTTAAGAAGGGTCAGTGGCCGCAAATTCCCAAAAGCAGTCCCCGGCGTGGGGTCAGGGGGCTTCACCTATGGCGGAGGGGGGGGCATAGCTGATTAAGCCTTGCAGGGTCCATGTGGCTGATGGCATTCTCCATGAGGCCACAGAGATCCTATCCCACATGTACCTCTTAAAATGTAACCCTGGTGGTCCCAGAAGGATCCTGGTTGCTCTTGGATCCCACAGGCCTGTGGCTGCAGTGGAAATGGTGTCACTTGGGGGCTGCCGATAAGAGTCATTGGCCTTTGCCAGGTACTCTTGAGTCACTGTGCTGTGAGGAGGTCTGAGCCACACACAGAGACTCTGACTCCCCCAGGACAACACTGCCGGTCACGTGACCCTTTCTGTCTTGGAGATGCAAGGTGTGTCTCTGCTCTGAATCTGGATTGGCATAGCTCTATGGGACTCCCTGGGACAGGGCTCCCCCAGGGGACCCAGCGTGTTCTTGGCATCAGAGGCAGGCTGACATTGGGATCAGGGTTTGGTCTGGGGACACCAAAGAGGGTTTGCAGGCCAGGAGGGGTGCTCTGGGCCTGAAGGGGACTGGGGGACCACTGGGGTCAAGAGCGATGGGGTTCCCCACCTATGTGCCCACCTCCGCCCTTCACGCTACAAGCTGTGACCAGCGTCCACATAATGACATCCACTGTACTCTGCCTTTCATGCCTGTGACTGTAGGCTGAACTTAGGCTCTGGGTATGTGTGCCAGGCTGTGTTCTTTGTTGTCACCATCTGTGTGTTCAGCTGTGCCCCCCATCCAGCCCCGCCCCGCCCACTACCCAACACTGAAAGGCACCCAACTGGCCTGGGCCTTGCTTCTTCCAGCAAGACTGGAGCTGAGTCAGGTGTCCCAGTAGGGCCAAGGCCATACACATAAAAGTGCACACTCACACGCGTGTGTGCACACATACATGTACACACACCACACCCGGGCACACTCACACACGTGCGCGCGCCAGGGTAGACATACATGTGTGCACCCACAACCTACGTGTGCGCATACCCCACATGCACACACAACAGGCAGTTGTAAACAAAAGTTAGTTTTATTTTGTTTCCTTTGCTTTGGCGGCTGTGTCTGAATTAGGGAGGGGGACGGAAGGAAGAGAAGGGGTAGATGGGAGCCAGGATCCCCATCCCCCAGAATGGCCCAAACCGGAGTCCCAGCACTCCCTGACAACAGGCTATCGGCCTCTTTGCAGAACCACACGTCTGTCCCAGGGGGAGGGGCCGAACCACAGAGGTACAGAAGCTCCAGAGAATGCAGTCCCTTCCACCCACCCCAGGGCCTCAGCACAGGAGGGAACTGGGGGGGGGGAGGGCTCCCACAGGACGATGTGGCACTCCCCTTCTGTCCCTCCCTTCCCGTCCAGACCTCGGTTTCCCTTCCCGTCCAGACCTTCTGTACCAGAAAGACCTAGGAGTGCTCTCAGCTCTGTAGGAAACAGGAAGTGGATTGGGGATGGAGGTGGGGGGTTTGGGAGGGAACCCCATTTGCTGCTGCAGGCTGTATGGACGAGCGCCGGGCCTGCCATGACACACATGGGCTGATCAGGGGAGCAGGGTGGGGGAGGAGAGGGCCAAGACACACCCCCCCCCACACACACACACACAGGTGAGGCTCAGACTGCCCCCACCCCCGCAGCCACAGTCCCATAAACCCTTTCGGGTTTAGGGATCAGAGCTGGGGACCCTTCGCAGGTCCCTCCTCCTCCTTCTCCCCTGGACAGAGGGGAGACCTCAGGCAGGGAGGGGCAGTGACGCTGAGCGGGTGATGCCTTCAACCTGGTGCCCCTCCCGGGTGGCCCGGAGCAGGCGGAGGAGAAAGAGAGGGCAGGTGGTTCTCCTCGCCCTGCACCCTGGCCTTCCCCCAGAGCCCCAGCCCCCCACCCCAGCCGTGGCCTGCAGGGGATCGGGCCACTTCAGGGGCGGGCCGTCAGATCCACACGGTGGTCTTCCCCTCCCTGCTGCTGGCACTGCCCTTCTCTGAGCCCGCCCTGGGCTTGGTGCCCGGCCTGCCCTGGCCCGTTCCCCCCGACGTGGCGCTGCCCGACCCGGAGGCGGGGGCGCCGGACCGCTGGGGCCCCCGGGCGGCCGCGGGGAGGCCGGAGCACGGCGGGCTCTCGCGGTCCTCCAACGCGTGCCCATCCCGCAGCGCCTGCAGCGCCAGGCTCGCCAGGTCACGGTCGTGGGAGCGCGCGCGCTCGGCCGCGCGCACCACCAGGCTGT